ATAGGTAAATAAAAACTTTAATTTAAATTTATATTGAAAATCTGGCAAAAAGTTACCAACAAATAAAAAAGTTCTGCAACTACTGTACCATCACTCAAGAAATCGCAATAAATCTATTGATGACAGCTGTTCAATCGTTGTACGTGAAGTGGCAGGAATTTGCAGTGAAGCAGTAGTTCCAACTCAAATTAATTCGCGTTGCATAACAAAGTTACACTGTTCAAAATTTCATGACCATTTTAACACCAAACATGGTCTATATCGATACAAACCAAAATGGTGTTAAATAAGGTTCATTGGCCGGTGTAAATTCAAATACTAAAATGGTGTTAATTTAACTTTCACACAGTATTAAAATAAATTTTACTTGGTGTTAATTGAACTCCTTTTCAGTGTTAAATATTATGTGTTTGTGGACAAATTAAATTATACTACATAGAAAAAAGGAAAAAAAAAGGAAACAGGAAGTTCCTTGACGCATTACTAGTATATTACCAGTGGTATTATTCCAGAAAATGGAACCTTCAACTCGCTAGAGATAATGTTTTTAGTGCGTTGCACTAACTTAAAATACTTCAAGTATTGACAGCTGTTTTCACCTATTTAAGGTCTCTTTAGTATCGAACAACTTGTAGTGTCACACCAAAGCAAAGGATTACCTAAGTTTATATATTCTTCATGTAAGTCAACAGAGGCAAGATTTAAGAACATCACGTGATCCACACCGCCACACCGCGATCGGTACACATTTTCAACCATAATTCGTGGTGTTATGTTAACACCGCTTGGTGTTGGATTTTGACACCATTTTAAGATTACTTTTTACACCACAGATATTTTAAACAGTGTAAAAAGTCTCTACGCAGAATACAGAAATGTACAAGAACATCTTAACCAAAAAAAATAAAACAAAAGAGCAAGATTTGTCAAATAAACTCGAACAATTATTTGACATTGCTCACGGTGACGTTTTTTAAATTATCAAAGAACTCGACGGATTTTTCATATAAATATTGTAAATAAAAATTGTATACCTACCATACCCTAATACCACCAGAATTATCTATTTTCAGAAATAAACTAATAACTTTCATCGAAATAATAATAAGTTTGCCGTAAAAGTAAAAAAAATCTGAAAATTTACAGTGATTTAATCGAAAAATTATAAGTGACCTTTTTTGTAGAGCGTTCAATTTACTATAAGAATATATATGTCTCATTGTTGTAAGTCATCTTGCCTGGGAAAAAAAGAATTAATTGAAAAAAGTGTCAAAATCCCATGTAATTTGAATGGGAAATGTATCGTCTTTGGGGCAAGGTTTATTATGAATATTAAGAGTTTATTTTGGTCTGAAATTATTTTTTAGGCGATAGACTAAAATTTAGGGGGCGTCGCAAGAAAAAAAATCAACTTGGTAAATAACGGACACCCTAATAACAGGGTGCAAGAACAATAATAAGTTTTTTCCTGTAAATTTGAAACGCCCTGTGGGATGTACCAGCTATAACAGCGTCTTATAATCAAACTAGAGCCCCATCTTCTTTTAACATTTTGTTTTTTAATTCACTGCGTTATCTTTATTTTTAAAAGAAATAAACAGTTAAATATTACAGAACTACAGTTTAATAAAAAAAATGTAAAGAAACGATTGTAACAATAACAATAAAAATATGAACAAAATCAATAAAACCAACATTAAAGAATATCAATATCGCGTATTTTCGCCCCTACTTCACATCGACGGCTCATACTCGAAACCAGATGTTTAGACGAGATTAGGCCTTGATCAATGACATTCCATATTTCTCGTAGCATATTTGCTACGTCATTAAGGGAGGCAGGCATCATGATTTCTTAGTCGTCTACCCATATTATACCAAAAATGCTCACTGGTGTTAAGATCCGGACTATTTGCAGGCCAGTCTAAAGTTTCAACACCCACCTCATGTAAGAACTCTAGGACTATATGGGAGGTGTGAGGTCTTGCGTTATCCTGAATCAGTAAAAAATTATTACCGATGTACGGGGCGAAAGGGACAACATGCTCAGATAAAATGTCCTCGGTATATCGTACACTATTCATGGTACCTCCACGAACAATGACGAGTTCTGTGCGAGCTGTCAAGGAAATTCCTCCCCAAACCATTACAGAACCTCCAATTAATAGCGTGGTTTCACGAATGTTACCCTGTGAAAATCTCTCATTTGGACGTCGGAGAACCCTTACTCGCCGATCAGAGCTGAATAAACGAAATCTGGACTCGTCTGTAAATAGTACACGCTGCCAATCCTCAATATTCCAGCAAACATGTTGTCTGGCAAATTGCAGTCTTGCTCTACCATGATTTGCATTTAAGTTCGGTCCTGTTGCTGGAATTCTAAAGGTCAAATTCTGTTCTGCAAGACGTCTTCTTACGGTGGACACACTTGTTTGAAAATTATGAGTAGCATTAAGTTGTACCTTTAGATTTCTTGCTGTTACAAATCGTTCTCTCAAAGCATGCAGATAAAGAAAACGACCATGTACGGCTGTTGTCATTCGATGCCTTTTCTGCCCATCACGTCTGTTATGATCGTTGGTTTCTTCAAAACGTCGAATAACACGGGATATTGAGGTATGATTAACAACCAATCTCCGAGCTATGGCTCGGCCAATGTAATAATTTTTACACATTTATCACGATTCAAATTTCTCACTTGGCGTTCTATTACAATAACTTTATGCAGACAACTTAAAAAAAAATGACAGTTTCCGACCTACCATGACCTACCTATGCTGCCGTGCTTAATGAAAACGCCGTAACCAACAATTTTGCGATTTTTGGTTTACGGCATTTTCTACTAGAACAATTCATCCTGCGTCTATCCCTGGTACTCAAAAAACCGTATAGATATAGATACGGTTTTTTGAGTACCGGGGATAGACGCAGGATGAATTTTTCTAGTAGAAAATGCCGTAAACCAAAAATCTCAAAATTGTTGGTTACGGCGTTTTCATTAAGCACGGCAGTATGTTAGGTTCTTTCATTTTACATTAAACTGGAGATATTTAGTCTTTAACCGTATATCTCATTTAAAAAAATAGATAGCGACGTGAATCAAAAAACAAAATGTTAAGAAAATATAGGGCTACAGTTTAATTATATAAGTCATATGCTGTAAAAGCTGGTACAACCCACAGGGCGTTTCAATTTTTCGGAAAAAAAACTTATTATCACTCGTGCACCCTGTATATACTCAAAATGAAAAATTGGAAAAAATATTTCAATAAACGCATTATTACCAAAGAATAAACCTACAATTTAATAAAAAAATCACCAAATTCGGTTTGACGGTTCGCGAGAAAATCAACTTTGAAATTGTGGAAAAATGTTAGTGGTGCATTAAATTTGACGCGAAGTGTATTATACACTCACCGACAAAAAAAAACCGGAACCTAAATTTTTTTGACAATTTTGACATGTCATAACTTTTTTATTTTTGATTTTATTGCAATGATTTTTTCGCTGGACTATAGATCAGTTCATTTAGATTGCGCTGCAGTTTATCCTGACATTTTAGATGCTTAAAGGTTTATATACCAGGGTTAATAAAAATGTTGTTTTTATCCGTAAGTTTAAAACACCCTGTGGAAACATGCAAATCAACCTTTTTCTAAACTGTTTTACGATAAATCTGGATGTGTTCCGAGTTTTTTGTTTTTTACATCATCTGTACATCTCGTTTCTTTTACGAGCTACGCATTTTTAAATGAAACAACGTCACATTTAAAAATATTTTTACTAAAGCTGTATTAAAAGTTGTTTAGAGCACAAACTGAAAGTTAATAACGGTTGAGATCTGGGCTGCATGGTGGCCATTACAACCTCCGAAATCCAACTTCATCTAAAAATTCATTTACTACATGCGCAACATGCGGTCTGGCATTGTCTTACATGAGTATAAACTCTTCTCCAATGAAAGGGTCAAATGGAATGACAGCTTCATGTAGTATATCTTCAATATATCTATGGGCATTAGGCGCTCCATTTTCTACAAATATTTTAGATGAAGTTGGAATTCGGAGGTTGGAATGGCCACCATGCACGACCTTGGCCAGCTCGTCGACTGTAACCATCCGTTTCTAGGTACCGATTGTAAGCACGACACACGACGCGTGGTATTTTGCTTAAAAACCTGGCCATAAAGCAAAATTGTGAACTTTTACATATAAAGTTTTAGTTCGATCCTGAAAATAGATAAATATATATAACATTATGTCGTGTACTTCTTTTCTATAATAACTTAACGAGTCGCAAGTACCTGGGGTTGAAACTTAGCATTTATTCTATACGAACATCTTTGTTCGTATACGAGTGCTATAGCACTACATTGGTAAACATTTTTTCGTTGCGATAATTTTTCTGTTGAAAGTAATTTTTCTGGTAAAACTTTTGATGGATATTGTTGTACAATGTATGTACATCATACTCATCATTTTTAATCACTGGTAAAAGCTTTTTATCTGTGATTTTATCGATTTAAAAACGAGTATAAAAACCTTTCAATTTATGTTACTTTCTTTGCATATATTAGTGTTTTTAAACATATACAACCTATCTCAACCGAATAAATGTTACATGGGAAAATTTTGCTCATGTTTGCTCCTTAGCGAATACACTAAGGTGCAAAAATTTAGGAAATACCCTAGGGTACAAAAATTTCACTAATTTTACTTACCTCTCAGGTAATTGTTTTTCCAAAATTATTTTATTTTGTAATATTTGGTTCTATACCTATACTACAGGTATACAAAAAAAGTATCTTTGGTGTGTAATTTTGTTTATTTATGTCTATGCATCCGCAGTGATCAATTTTTTATTTTTTGTGTCTTATTGCTATCGTGTGAGTGACTTTTGAAATCAAAATGAAAAACGAGGAAGCTATCAGTAAAGAAAGTCCAGCTAAGAATATTTTTGACTATTCCGTCAAATCGGTAACTCGAAAACATCTGCATGAGATGGTGAAAAAAAGCAAAGAGAGAATTTTTGATAGAAAACTTATAGATTTGGAAGAACAGTTAATGACGATTACAAAGTGCCCTCCTGAGAAAATCGATGAATTTAAAAATACCTTAAATAGCTTTAAGGTTGTTTATAAACGTAACTGGCAAGCCTGTAGAAGGATAGATTGTCGTTTCCTGAAAAAAAATCAAGAATGGCTAAACGAAGAAATTTCATTTCCAACCGCCCTAGTTTCCGGAAGTTCCAAAGGCCGCCCAAGTAAAGAGTTCAGCGAATTAAGTGACCGGTCAAAAAGACGTCAAACAATGGAGCTCAGGTTAAATGTTCTTCTTGATAAATTGACATACGCTACACAAATGAGTCAGCGAGCTGCAGGAAATAATGACACCGCAAAAATCCTTATAACTAACTCTCCAACTATGGCAGCGAAGTTTCGAAGATCAGCTTCTGTTAATAGTCAAACAAATACTACGCACAAACACACGCCACAAGAAGCACTGGCCATATTGGTTGAAGCGAATTTGACCATGAGTCAATACGAGGTAATCCATCAGGCCAATAGGGATATATATCCATGTTATAAATATGTTCAAAAAGCTAAACAAGATTGCTACCCACAAAACATTGTTGGCGAATCTTTTGCTGAGGTGAAACTGCAAGATTTGGTTAATCACACAACTTTGAGACTATGGAAGTATTTGGAACCAGTCATCGAGGTCTATGGAAATAAATATAAAAATTTTGTTCTTATATTTAAGTGGGGATGTGATGGATCCCAACAAAAGCAATATAAGCAAAAGTTTGAAGATAACAGTGATAGCGATGGTAATATGTTTTTGAGTTCCCTTGTGCCAGTGAGACTTATGTGTGAAAAAAAATTATATGGCAGAACCCTTGTCCATCATCACCCAGGTTTTGTAGGCCTATCAGGATGAGATTTGTTAAAGAAAATAAAGACATTACTAATGAGTCAAACCACGTCAAGTGGACCAGAAAATTTCACGAAATCACCGATTTTGAAAATAACCACATTATTGTGTAGTAGGCATGCCTCATATGTCACAGTAAAAAAATTGTTTTAAAATTCGTTTTTTTTGGTAATGTTATTAAGGTTGACAATTTTGTCAAACTTTAGAGCACGGTAAAATTGAAAAAATAGAATGTCTGGGACCACTTTGTATAATTGAATTATATTTTACACACTATTGTAGAAATGTTTAGAGTATATAATGATCATTTAATTAAGGTTAATTTGTTTAAATAAAAGAATTTTGCATACATTTATTATAAACAATTGAAATTTTGTATGTGTTCTTCACGCTGAAAAAAAATTAATCTTGTGTCATAATATGCGGCAAACGTTTCCGTTTAATAAGATGTCCTCAAAAATTTGCCTTTCATATGTCATTCCGGAGATATTAATTTTTTTGTCCGGCTGTGCGCTTGATCAGTACGCGGCACGTTTCGCTGCTAGCTCGTCCGTTCGAACGGTTTAACGGTGTGCCTGAACGAAGTTTAAGTCACATAAAAATGCCGCCAAAAACTGATTGTAGTTTCTTGTTCGGGACCCTTTGGTGACTTAAAAATGATATTTACCAAAGTTCTAGCTGCTCCTCTTTTCGAAATTGTTCGAAAATTCATGATTTTTTTTTAAATTTTTGTTTATCTCTTTGACAGAGTACACATTTGCACACGGATTTTTATAAAATTGGAGTATATTATTTAGGAGACTTAGAGAATATTTTTTAATACTGTTCACATTATTTGATATATACAGGGTTAGCAAAAAATCACTTATTTTTAATAATGCAAAAGCGTAAATTCATGATTTTAGCATAACACGCGAAAAATATTTATTCGCAATTTTTTTTTTAGATATTTCTAGGTCTATCAGGTTACAAAATGGCATTATTATTAACCTTTTACAAGAAAAATAGATTTGTAATAACATTTAATAAAATAACGCTTAGAGAGTATTTAAAATGTTGTTTAATTTAGGCTTTTTAGTAGTTTTCAATTTTGAACGAAAAATTGGTTGAAGTTAAAAAATATATTTACCAAAATTCTAACTTTTTTTTTTTAATTTATAAAAAATTCAATTTTTTAAAAATTATTTGTTTATAGCAAAGTCTACCTTTGCCAGAGTACACATTTGTACACCGATATTGTAAACGAGAGAAACTGTTTTTATATATATGCTTAGATTTATACAGGGTTAGACAAAAATCACTTTTTTATATAGTAAAAAGCATAATGCATAAAAAAGATTTTTCAATAAAGGAGCAGCTAGGATTTTGGTAAATATCATTTTTAAGTCACCAAAGGGTCCCGAACAAGAAACTGCGGAATTTTTATGTGACTTAAACTTCGTTCAGGCACACCGTGTGCTGACGAGCTAGCAGCGAAGCGCGCCGCGTACTGATCAAGCGCACAGCGGGACAAAAAAATTAATATCTCCGGAATGACATATGAAAGGCAAATTTTTGAGTACATCTTATTAAACGGAAACGTTTGCCGCATATTATGACACAAGATTAATTTTTTTTCAGCGTGAAGAACACATACAAAATTTCAATTGTTTATAATAAATGTATGCAAAATTCTTTTATTTAAACAAATTAACCCTAATTAAATGATCATTATATACTCTAAACATTTCTACAATAGTGTGTAAAATTTAATTCAATTATACAGAGTGGTCCCAGAGATTCTATTTTTTCAATTTTACCGTGCTCTAAAGTTTGACAAAATTGTCAACCTTAATAACATTACCAAAAAAACGAATTTTAAAACAATTTTTTTACTGTGACATATGAGTCATGCCTACTACACAATAATGTGATTATTTTCAAAATCGGTGATTTCGTGAAATTTTCTGGTCCCACTTGACGTGGTTTGACTCTAATGAGGAAATGGATTACGTGGAAAATCAGGCCAATAATCTTCAAGCTACAAATGTAGAGGAGGGTATTCATGTACAGCACATATTACTGCCAACAATGGTAGATGGTAAAGTGTGCAATGCTGCTACTAATACAACATCGACAATGCGCTGCTTTATTTGCGGAAAAACATCAAAAAGTTTTAATGACTTGACAATGGAAAGCACAGAAAAACCGGAGACATTCAAATTTGGCCTATCAATACTACACGCCCGAATAAGGTTTTTTGAATTCCTAATACATCTGTCGTATAAAGTAAAGGCAAACGTACATAGAAGTCGTGTTACATTAAAAAGTGAAAAAGAAAAAATCCAAACTGCTAAAGAAAATCTCCAAAAAGAATTTCGCGAGAAGATGGGATTGCTGGTGGACATACCAAAAGCCGGATTCGGTAACACCAATGATGGTAATACGTCACGTAGATTTTTTAAAATTCCAGAAGAAGCAGCTGCCATCACAGAAATAGATTTTGAATTGATAAAAAGATTTAAAATAATATTAGAGGTGTTATCTTCGGGCTTCGAAATAGACGTGGAAAAATTTTCAACGTACACTATGGATACGGCGAAGCACTACGTACATTTATATCCTTGGCAACCTATGTCACCAACAGTGCATAAAATTTTAATACACGCACCAAGTGTTATTACACATGCTTTGTTGCCAATCGGCCAGTTATCGGAGGAAGCACAGGAAGTACAGGGAAAGCTTCTCAAGAAAATTTTCCAGAACGGAATGTAATCAAGACGTACTAAATAGGCTCTTGTTGACCTCGGATCCCTACTTAAGTAGCATTAAACCTAAAAATAAGAGAAAAAAACAGGAATTTTCAAAGGATACATTGGATTTTTTCAAACCAAGTATGGATTTCAATGATGATAGTGATTAGGAACTGTATATTTTCTTAAAGTTAATATTTCAATTTATGGCAAATACAATTTCATTCTTAGATTTTTTTATTTTTTTATTCATACCTATCCTACATAAATATTTAGTTATTTCATATAAAATTAGTATCAATTATCACTAGTATGTCCTTGAAAATGACTTTTTTACTTATAAATTAACTTTATAACGCGTTATAATGTATAGAAACCAAAAAAATATTTTTGGCCAGGTTTTTGGCAAAAATACCACTCTCCGTCGCGACGGAGGCAGAAACGCCCATGGGCGATAGACTGCAGTCTATCGCCGACTTGCTGATATCTGTTCCCCTTTTGTACCAGAGTCACTAACTGAGCGACTTCTGTCTCAGATAAATGCCGCCTGGGCATAATCAAAAATAAAAAAAACAAAGTTTTCAAATACCTTCAGTAAATTTCTTTCACCAAAATTGCAAAAATTAACAGTAGTTTTGAAAAAAACTGTTAATTGGATTTTTTTTTTTAAATCGGAGTAGTCTTAAGAAAAACTATTTTTAGGAATACTTATTAGCTTTGCAGATAAAACTCAAGAGTTTTGTGCCTCAATATTCGTTACACGAATATTGCCGGAATCTCGGGGACATCGACTTTTAATTACATAATTTAATAAAATTAAAATAAAGATGATTAAAGTACAGAAGTTACAAACCGTTTAAAAACAAAACCCATATTTTTTATTCAACGGGATAAAGATGACAACAACCAAATAAAAAAAAATTTAATTTTTTTTTTCGAAAAAGAATTTTTTTTCTATCAATTTTCGAATTTTTTTTTATAATTTTTTTCATTTAAATTTACTGATGAGTCGATGCAAAATTGAGAGCAAAACGAAAAAAAATTATTATGCCACGATAATGGATAAAAATCTTATTCCTTTAATTTTTTTAAAATTTTGGATGCTCGGGGCCGAAAAACTACTCAATGGATCGATCTGAAAATTTACAGGGTTTTCAGGGGTATATTGAGGTGTAAAAATACTTGCAATGTCTAGCTTCCCAGTCGATATTTATTAAGATACAGTCGATTAACCAAAATAAGGGAAAAAGTCACTTTTTTTAACTTTTTTCCAACCGGTATCGTACACAGATAAGATTTTTTTTCTGGAACTTTTTCATGAAATTTTCTTGGAAATTTCTTCCAGTTTCCAAAACTGTCCTTTTTTTGCTGTACGATTATTGGTTGCAGAGATATTGACGGTTAAAGACATAAGCGCCCTTTTTTGTTTAATCTCGGATATCTCCGCGACAATTGGTCGTATCAAGCTGAATAAAAAATGAAATTGAAGCTGAATAAACAAGCTATCTGTTTCATAAGGTCGCTTTGTTTGAAAATATTTTTCCGTGCCCGTAGAGCGAAAAAAAAAAGATCAGCATTTTTTTTTCATTCCCTTAATTTTTGTGAGTAGTTTATATATATATTAGGGTGCTTCATTTTAGAGCAACATTTTTTTGTTTCAAGTCCCACCTCAAAATCTTGTAGTAGATCCAAAAACAAAAAAATTGAGCATTTTTTGAGCTCTTAATTATGATTTTAAGCCATTGCTCAACAGTGTTGAAGATTTTCCATTCAAATAACATTATAAATCCATTTTTTACCATTTTTATCTTCCGCTCACCAAGAAGGAATTTTATTTACGAATTTTGGCTCAAGGAATCTTATGAAGGACTAAATCGTCTACGAAAAAGCCCATTGAGCCGAGTCTGTAAGTCGAATATCTTCTTTACAAATCGCTCTTTAAATTGAAAATGTTATAAAAATAACAGTAAATCGTAATTATTTGCTAAACTATTAATGATAGAAAAAAAATGTTAATGGCAATTTTGTAGGGAATTTTTTGTCCTCTAACTTTGTTTAAAAAAATTTTTTCGTATCACAAATAGTTAAACGACTGCAGCCTCTTAAAATGTAAAATGTCTTAAAATTTCTATTCTAACCTATGTATATTAGGGTGCTTTATTTT